CCTCCGCCCACTTCCCGGGCTTGCGGGCTCCGGGCCCCCAACGCAGTCGCGATTCCTACCCCCGCCCCCCAGCAGGGAAAGGCTGCTTGCCCCCCCCAGTGCACTCGCCTTACTTCGAATTAAGCTTGTCCCCTCCCCAGGGAGAGCCTCGCCTTTCCGCTGCGACCCCCTTAATTAGGGGAGGGACAGTCCGCGGGGGGCGGTGTGACCTCCTCTGCAGCTTGGAGCACTTTGGGGGGGCATGGGCTGGAGACAGCGGCTCGATCAGACAGGGCTCTAACTGGGTGTGCATTTTTGGGCGCCGGTGGACACGTGCCTGGGTCTGTCCCCCGGGCTCAGGCTCATCCCTCAGCAGCCCTTGGCTGCCCCTCTTTCCAGAGCAGAAATCGGGTCCCCCGATGACGAGGGGGAGGGAAACGCGGAGGCCTGGCCGCTGCAGCGCACCAGGATCATTCCAGCTCAAGATTCGTGCAGGGGTGCTAGAGTTAGTTCCTCTTGAGTCATTCCTGGTGGAGTTGGAGTTAGAATTTACCAGAACACTCAATAACTGGCGAAAAAAAAAAAGGGGGGCGGGAAGAGAAGTTAACAGTTTCCTTGAATAAGTTTGATGTATTAATTCTTCAAAAATCATCTCTGCCTGTAGCAGCCTTTAAATGGTTTCATTGGAAAGGCCAAATAGGTAACCTCCGCTGCAAAAGGCTTTAATTTCGGATAACGTCATTAGAACTGATCAGTGGGATAGCTGAGTGGGTTTTCCATCAAGCGTCTTAAGTAGACAGTAAGATTAACAGCAAGGTATTGACGAGGCTGCAGACATTCTCCCTACTTTGCCAGAGAACTATTAAAATAAATCGGAGCTGGTTTAGCATATTCTTACGGGGAGCTGCCCGTAGTTGGAGCTCCAGGTTTGACTTGGGCGGTGAAATCTGCAGTTATCATTGAAGAGAAAAGCTGTGTGCTTTATTACAGAAAGGGAAATAATTTAGATTTCAGTAATAAATACTCTAAAACGTCTTTGTGAAATGTAAGAATGTTGGTTTTGTTAAGCACACAGTCTTCCTCTGTAAAAGAACGTTGTTCAATACTTCCTACATCTATTTTCACTTCCTAATGATTCAGTACCTTTATATTCAATATGTGTAATATGCCAACACTCCTTTTCCTGCCAGTAAAAGCCTCGGTATATCTTTCACTTAGGACGCTGGGTGGTAGAACTCTCTCAGAGTGGGAAGGCCAGGAGTTCTGACAGGGAGGCAGCAGGGAGGGAGCTGGACTTAGAGTCTGAGCTTAATCACCAAGAGCAAAGTGATGTTGGGACAATCCCATCACACCGCCTAGAGCCCCAGGTTCTCGTCTGTGTTATGTGTCCTTCCTGCCAGCCTCACTGTGTATTACGTGACTCTTATTCGAAAGGCCTTTGTAAATTCTAATGTACTATGCAAAACCTCACTACTAATCTGTATGTGTGAAAAAGGAAATATCTGGAAGCATAGCTACTGAAGGTAGAAAAAAATCATTAAAGGATTGACTCAGAGTTCATTAACTTATAAATGTGTAAGAACTGTTAAAGTAGCAAGACAACATCACAGAGAATTATAGAGCATCAAGCTTACAAAATGGGTAATTTTAAGACTTAAGCCAGTATTGTCTGCAGACTAAGAGACCTTTTTGTCAAAAAGTTGTCATATTCCTGTCTTTGTCTAAAGACAGGCAGGCATGTTTAAAGTGGAAGCTACAGCGTTTGCTGAGTTCCCTTTGTTTTTTTGTTGCAACTGGCCTTTAGGTAGGTGGGATTGGCCAATACCAAAATGACACATATTTTCCGTTCTGCGGTGGAGAAGGAAACAGTGCAGTCTGTTGTAAATACTGCTCAGCAAAACCGCAGCTGGCGAATGGCTTCATAAACTAACCATAGGTTTTTCCACGTCGAATCTGTCATGCCCTCTACTGGACAGGCTCTCTGAACATGTTAGTGGTGGAGGTTCTCTGGGTGGTTTTTGAACTTTTTGTCTTAAAAAAATTAAAATTAGGCAAACAAAAGAAGGCAGACAAAAAATACGAGTTTCTAGAAATTCCAAAAGGAGAAATGAAAGGCAAAAGGCTCCCCTGCCGTACTTTTCCATTTCCCTTATTAATAAAAAATTAGTATTGTTAGCTAAACATATTTAACATACTAACTTTCATACCTATGCTTTAGAAATTTAGAAAACAAGATGTTTGCTTTTAAAAACACACAAAAGGGCAATTCTGTGTATTAGCCTGCACTTTGCCTTTTTTGGTCCATAACAGATCTACTCTGCCATCTTTATAGGGTGAATTCTCTCTCAGTTGGATATTCGATGAAACTTTTTCTTTGTCTCAGTATCTTTTCTTTTCTCATCGCAGCTCCCCTGTTTCTGACTGTCCTGAAGCTTTCTCATTTGTAGATCACAGTCCTTCAGTGCACGAATTACTTTACCTTTTTTGGTTAATTTAGTGTGCCTTTGGTTCCGCATCCTTCGAGAGTTTTAAAATAAACCCGGCTAAGGCCCTCGGAGTCACCTGTCCTGGCCCTGCCTAGATGAGCCATATTAGCTCAGCAACATCAGTCCGTTTCTTCAAAGCCCCCGTCTTCTCAGAAGCCTCCGCTTTCCGATGGGTTTGTTCCATCCAGGTTCAAGGTTCCTCTCTCCCTGTTGTCTTCCCCCTGGCAGCAGGCTGGTCGCTCGTCTTTAGCACCAATGTGACTTTCTCAACCTTTTAGAACTTGTTCCATGTGCAGCAGAACCTCATTTCATTTAAACGTTTCCTTCCTGATGAGTAAGTTTGCTCTCTCTTCCTTCCATCCTTCGGCTTTTTGTGAAAGCAGTTGTGTAGGTCCCCGAAGGTGAGGATTTTCACCCGAAGCATCTTTTTCGCACCATCTGAAGTTGCTGTTCACTTTTCTGATGCACTTTGGAGAATATTTTCTTGTAGCTGCTTAAAATTGGATGTATTCTGATGCATCTTCTAATGCCAATTTTCTCCAGATGTTTGGCTTTCTCTTTGCCAAACTCTTTCCTAAAAGTCTGTGTTTGCAGCCCAAGCAAAGAATTGGAGATTTCCAGCTCTTTATTAATGACCTCCAGTTTTGTTTTTTGCCCCCTGATAGTTTGTTTTTGAGTCTGGCTTTCATTTAAAGTTGATTCAAGGCCTTAAAATTCTTTTTGAAGGAGATTAAACTTGTCAAAAATTTGGTATCTTCCACCCAGAAAGGCAGAAACTTTATTTCTCTCTCTTGACTTGCCTAAGGTAGGCTTTTAATTATTAAAAATCTGACTATGGCTATAAATAGCACCATCTCCCACAGTAATCCATGGGTATCTGAGTCTGGTTTTTGAAGCGAGCATAATTCTGGTCCCTAAACCTGACGAAAACAGCACTCAAAAGAAAACTAAAGAAAAAATTTAATCATAAACATATAGACCCCTTACATAAAATATTTCAGATAGGTCTCACCAGTCAATGGTTTAAAGTGAGCAGAAGCCCTGTGC